CCCCAAAACCCCAAAACCCCAAAACCCCGGGTGGATTAGCCCTCATTGAAATATTAGCGAATTCTTTGTGTGGTACTTTGCCCGTTACTTATCCTAGAGCAGAGATTCTAAGTGCTGTGAGATAGAACAAATTTATTTAGCACTTCTCCATTTGTATGCTTAAAGTTTTAGTCTATATAAGGCTAAAGTATAAATTGAGTTTAGAAAGTATAACCAAATTATTTTAGGTTTTACGAAGGATTACTATTCCATCTATACATCTCCTTCTTGTTATCCACCTACAAGATGTCAGACTGGAAAGTATACCTGCCTGAACCTACACTTAGGTGAAGCACCAAATTGGATAATTCATGCGATGCAATATACACTATTGTGATTTGTTTTTAAGGCTTTCTTGATTTCAAGAACTTTTAAGATCGAGTTCTTCTCAACTTATCAAGCCAAACAAGTGTCTTCTCAGTTGAGCAAAGTCTTGCAGGGGTGTCTGAAGGCGTCATCCTTATTGACAGTCCCAAAGACAAGATCAAGTTTGTCAACAAGAAACTCAGCCAGGCCAGCCAAATCGAAGAACTCCAGAGGATGAAACATGCCATCGACCAGGACTTTGAAGCGATATGTTAGAAAGCTGAAGTGGGTTTGCTTGACATGCAGGATTCTCAGAAGTTCACATCCAACATTCTGAGCAAACTTTGTGTCAGAGTCAAGACCACCAAAATCGAAGAAGTCAAGGGTTCAGAACCCAATGATCACAAAGACAGCTACGAACAGTTCAGTTTGCTAGAGTTCTTGCGAGACGAGCGCGAACTCAGTCTGATGGGTGAGAATGCTGGCAGAAGCACCAAAGTCTCGATCTCGTACAACTCCAACTTGTTGCCGAGTGAAGCAGAGCTTGAGCACAGAGACTTTATTGTGAAGACTTCCAAGATTGATACTGCAGAGTGTAGAGATGGGAACTACACATTCTTCCAAATGTTCATTGACACGACTCAAATAACACAGCTGGAGTAAGCTAAGGCACAAAGCAACTATCAGAGGCAGATGTTGTCGAATGTGTCACATGAGTTCAGGAAACCTCTCAATGCCATAAAAATGTCTTTGTCTCTGTTCTTGATGAAACAACGCATCAATAGAGATTTTAGGAAATTTCATCAGATTGCCACTTCATCATAAGACATTCTCAAAAGAGTTGTTGAAGATATTCTTGACTTCTCAAAACTCGAAGCTGGGTTTTCCAGATCGAAGAATCTGTCTTTACGTTAGCTGAGTTGTTAGATGATTCCCAGGCCATCTTCGAAATGCAGACTGCCATGAAGAGAGTCAGCCTGATCTTCCACATGGATGACCAGTTTCAGGGTCTCAAGGTCGAGTCTGACAAGCAGAGGCTAAAGCAGGTTTTGTTGAACTTGTTATCAAACGCCACCAAGTTCACTAACAGAGGCTCCATCAGTGTTGCCCTTTAGGTGAAGAATGAGGATAGGAGTCAGGATTTTCAATTTGATCAATACCAAGATATTTATACCCTCTAATACATAGATGACTATGCAATCAATATGACTCCAGGAGTGCTCGATGAGATTCCAATCTGCTATATCATGTCCGGCTCGGAGAATTATAACCTCAAGTGTTTCCGTCTTCATTAACTAAAGAACTCTGACTTGAAATGACAGTTACAGATACAGGACTCGGTATCCCTGACAAAGACCTACCCTCGCGGTTCAAACTCTTAGGCAAGACCAGTTCCAACCACAACCGGAACAAGACTGGGACTGGGCTTGGCCTGACCATTTGCAAGAAGTTGTGCGAGAAGCTAGGAGGGAAGATCAGCTTGAAGTCAAAAGAAGGAGTTGGCACAAAAGTCACCTGTGAATTCTTATGCTTCTATTAGCCATTTTTATAAAATTTCACTAATCAAACTCTGAAATCAATACTCTTAGATATTTACGGGGTTTTGGGGTTTTGGGGTTTTGGGGTTTTGGGGTTTTGGGG